CCTGGCCTTGGCCAGTCCACCCAGGAGGAGTCTGGGAGGAGGAAACTTCCAGCCCCGTTAACCCTTTCATGCCTGCAGGCGTGTGGGGGGGCAGACTGCTAGATCCAGAGGAGGAGGGGGCTACAGACTGTAAAAAGGGAGACCCTCGCCACCCCAAGGAGGAGACTGAGTCAAAGGAGGGGCTGGGCTCTGTCCACTGCTCCCCCTTTGGGGAGCGGGCAGGTGGCTGCGGGGAGTGGGGGTCCCCGGGGGATCCCTTTTCCAGCTTTCTGAGTAGAGAGGGGCAATCCAGCCTTGTAGCATTGGACAAACCCTCTAGCATCCCTTCTTCCCCAAATGGTCCTGAGCCACCCACAAGTACCCCCAAATGACTTCCTGCAGCCCAGCCCCCGGGGAGGAGGGCACTGCCTGAGGCTTCCCCGGACCTGCACAATTTAGGGTGGGGGTCCCTAGTCCTCCTGGTTAGGATCACCTCCCCCCATCCCCATCCTGCAGGGGGCGAAAGGGCGGGTCGCTGCCAAGGTTCCTGCTCCAGTGGACTGCAGGATGCCCAGAGGTGGGTCCTGGCGAACTAGGACCCTGTGGGTAAGTGCCACCCACAGACACCGACCAATACCCGGGGCGGGCTCCGAGCCCGAGGCCCGCCGGACCCCCGCGGGGGGACCTCAGGGACCCTCCCGGCCAGCGTGGCAGACAGACGTGGCTCTCCCACGAAACCCTCCAGGCTGCGGGGACCCCACGCCCAGTCTCTTTGCGATAACTTTCACTTTTCCGTCAATCACCTCGAAGCCCCGCCCCGGACCCGCCCCGCCGCCCCGGCCGCCTGTCCTGCAGCGCCCCCTGCTGCTCGAGCCTAGAAGGGCCGACGACGGAGTGGACAGGGCAGGAGGGGATCAGACCCCCAGACACCTGCACGCCTGGCCGGCAGAAGGGCTTCAGAGCTGTTTCAGAAAGTGGCACTAGCTTTCCTGGCGGGGGATCCTACCCTGGACAGGCCCCAGAAGCCTCCAGAAACTTTGTCGGCCACCTACTGAGCACCCAGTACTGCACTGGGAGCAAACCACCGGGGCAGGCCCCAAACCAAAACTTAAAAGGAAAGAGAAAAATGAGGAGACAGTTTGTTAAGACGTTTCTCGACTAGCAGAAAACACGTATCTGTACCCTCAGGAAGTAATCGGTGCTTACGGGGTTCCCATGCGCAAGCGTGAACCCATCTATGCGGAAAAGCCAGGCTGGTGGAGCCACTGGGTCATAGCTGGTGCCAACTGCCTCAAGGAAGTAGTTTCAGATGAAATTTCATTGCCCGGGACATCTCCACAGAGGGCACCTGCCTCGATGCTGTCCTCAGGGTCAGCGTCTTCTCCTCCTTCTCCTCCTCCTCTTCCTCCTCCTTCCTTCCTCCTTTTCCTTCTTCCCCTCCTCCTCTTCCTCCTCTTTCCTTTCCTCCTTCTTCTCATCCTCTTCCTACTTCCCTCCTCCTTCCTCTTCCTCTTCCTTCTTCCCCTCCTCCTCCTTTCCTTTCTCCTTCTCCTCCTCCTTCCCCTTCCCCTCCTCTTTCTCCTCCTCCTTCATCTCCTCTTTCTACTCCTTTCTCTTCCTCCATTTCTTTTTTCTCCCTTCTTCCTTCTCCACTTCCTCCCTTTTCTTCTCCTTCCTCCTCCCTTTTCTCCTCCTCCCTCTCTTCTTCCTCCTCCTCTTTTCTCTTTGGGTCACACCCAGCAGTACTCAGGGCTTACTCTGCACTCTGGGATCACTCCTGGCAGGCTCAGGGACCATATGAGGTGCCAGGGATCAAATCCAGGTCAGCCGTATGCAAGACACGTGCCCTGCCCTCTGTACTATCGGTCAAACCCTGCTTCTTTTCTTGAAGCCCTCGAGAGCTTAATGGTGCTAATGCACAAAAGGTCCTGGAGAGAGGGCTCAGGGGTTAGGGGCCCATGTCTTGCATGCGCCAGGCCCAAGTTCTAGTCCTGGCACTGCCTCTCACTTGCTACCACCACCAGAGGCAGCCCTGGAGGTCCTGGCACTTGGCTAGCATCACCGAACAGAGCCCCAGGCCTCTTAAACACTATATATATATATATATATATATATATATATATATTTGGTGAGTAGGGGGCCCCACCGCTAGCCCCCTACTCACCAAATATATATATACAGACCAGGGACACAGAAGTGCTCTTACATGCCTCTTGCTTATATTTCAGCAGCATGCTTACTAAAGTGACATTAGCCTCTTTATTAGAGATCACAAAATTGCAAGAAAGGAATTGTTAGTCAATGCTTCGTGTAAGAAAAACTGGGAGCTGGAGCAATAGCACAGCGGCAGGGCGTTCGCCTTGCACGCAGCCAGCCTGGCCGAGCCGGGTTTGATTCCTCCGCTTGCTCCTCTCGGAGAGCCCGGCAAGCTACCAAGAGTATCTCGCCGGCACAATGAAGCCTGGCAAGCTCCCCGTGACGTATTCAATATGCCAAGCACAATAACAATAAGTCTCACAATGGAGATGTTACTGGGCCCGCTAGAGCAAATTGATGAACAACGGGAGGACAGTGACAGTGACAGTGAAGAAAAACTGGAAGCTGGGCTCTAAAACTTTGTGTGAGGCAGGAATTCTTGAAGCTGCGGGTAGATTATCCCCGAAGCTACGGGTTTCCAATCTATCCTACCCGGAGTCTCCAAGCGCCCCCTGGAGGTGGCGGGTGGAAAGGCAAGCGCCGGAAGCATTTCTGGGGCGTTGCTCTAAGCCTTGTCTGTTGTAAACTTAGGGCCCCGGAGAACTTCAGGGCTGGAGACACATTTTGTCTCCCTCCAGACTATCCGACCTCGGCAATTCAGGGAGACCTGCTGCAGTGTGTGTGTTTCATTTAGTTTTGTGTGTGTGTTGGGAGTGGCAGATCCTGGGGATCAAACCCAGGGCCTCGTGCATGCGAGGAAGGTGTTCTTCCTGGCCAGCTCCTTACAGGCTGGGGGAGGAAGCTCCCTCCCCCCAAGCCCCCTGGGCCTTACCAATGGGGTTGTCTAGTCGCGTTATTGGAGCAGCGCCCTTACTCCAACGCCCTGCCCCCACTTTCCACAGGGGGCTGGCACCGGCCGCTCCTGCCCTCAGACATGCCCGGTCCACCTGGAGGACCCCTCCACACCCCCAGTTGGCAGGCGCCTAGAGAGAACCGGGGCACGTCCTCTGCGCTTCCTCTGAACCCGGTGGGACCAGCTGCGCCTTGTAATTCTGGCGCTTTCGGAACGGAAAATGGTAATCTGAACAGCATGCTCTCATTCATTCTCAGCCCCGAGGGGCACGTGGGGTGCAGGGAACACGGGTCACAGGAGACTGCATCAGGACCCAACCAGCTGGCACCGGGCTGGCCTGGCTTTCCACTCCCCGTGTTTCCGGGCTGGCTCAGGCTGACCAACCGACCGGGTGTCAGAGATCCGGGGGGTTTAGGATGCTGAAAGGGACCGGGGGCTGCCTTGTCCCCCTTGTCCTCCTCCCCAGCGCTGGAGAAAGCTGGGAGAGGCGGAGAGCCGAGTGTTTATTTTACACTCAGCTGCCTCTGGCCTTCCCCGTCCCATTAAGGGAGGGTGTGTGGGGACTGGGGGCTGGGGGAGCTGGTCTGCAGCTCCCGTTTCAGGGAAAGGTCACCTCAGCCTGACCTGGAAGCAGAGCCCAGCCCAACCCACTGGGCTAATGTGTTTACCCAAGACCAGGAGCAGGTGGGCTCTCCCCACCCCCCACCCCCAGTCTCTCCCAGCTGCCTCTTCTCCTAGCTCCCCGGGAGGCTGTGAAGGGGCTACAGACTCACCCACCTCCTTCCTGGGGGAGGGGGGCAGGAGCCCTTTTCCAAGGGAGGGTGCGCTGTGCCCCCCTCCAGCGCTGGTTCCGGTGCTCGGCTGAGAAGCTATTTCCTCTCTCCAACTCGGCAACAATGGGCTGTTCTGGGTCTGAGGAGGTTCTGGCTTCAGGCGGGAGTTAAGGGAAATCCATCCAGGATGCTGGACACCCAAGGGGTCGTGTCGGCTGGGGCTGGGGCTTCAAATAGCCTTAAGAGAACTGGGGCTGGAGCCATAGCACAGTGGGTAGGGTGTTTGCCTTGCACGTGGCCGACCTGGGTTCGATTCCCAGCATCCCATATGGTCCCCCGAGTATCACCAGGAGTAATTCCTGAGTGCAGAGCCAGGAGTAACCCCTGTGCATTGCCGGGTCTGACCCAAAAAGAAAAAAAAAAAGAGAGAGAGAGAGAGAACCACAACCCAACCATGCCCGCCCCAACCCGGCTTTCCTCACCTCACAATGTGACCCAAGAAAGACCTTGAATTTTGCAGATAGTTTTCTTGTCACCCTGGTGTTTCTACTGGGGCCTTGAGGGTGATTAACTCAGAAACTGGGTGGACATCGATGGGGGACAGGCTAGAAACAGTTCATAGTCAGCTAGCCAGCTGGCCACTGACCTACCCATCCACCCACTGACCAATCCATCCATCCATCCACCGCTCATCCACCCACCCATTCATCCACCCATCCATCCATATACTCAGCCAGCCATCCACCGATCCATCCATCCATCCACGATCCATCCACTGATCCATCCATCCATCCACTCATCTATCCACCCTCATCATCCATCCATTTATCCATCTGTCCGTCCACTTTTCTACCCATCCACCCATCACTCACCTGTCCACCCACCTTTTTTACTGATTAAATAATCGCACCACCATTAATTTGGCCGTCATAAGTTATATATTACACATTCATAAACGCAAGGTAAAGTGTTCCTCACAAAGAACTGGTCATAGCAACGGACATGTCTATGTTACCTGCATCCAGCAGGCACAGGAGTTGCTGGGAAGTTTTGGGGAGCGTGGGACAGACTGCCTCCCCTTCTGCCTGGGCGTCTCCCCAGTGCCAGGTGGGGCCGATCAAGGGGCACAGCCCAGATGCCCAGTCCATGCAGGCAGCTGGGAACCTCCCTCCTCTAAGCCGCCAGGCTGAGCCCCCGCCCTACAACCCTGGTCTTTGGGTTTGGGGGGACCCCGGGGACTTCAGCACAGGCGCCCCTCTGGCGCCCTCCAGTCGCGCGCCCAGCGTGCAGGACAGGTGGGCGTCGTGGATGACCCCCCGCACGGCGGCCCGGAAAGTCTTGCTGACCAAGCAGTAGAGGCCGAAGTTGAGGGCGGTGTTGAGCATGGCCACCATATTGGCCACGTCCAGCGCCAAGTGGACCCTCCAGTCCCGGTGCACGGGGGCCACGTAGAGGTGGTAGAGCATGACGATGATGCGGGGCGCCCAGAGGAGCGTGAAGAGCGTGGTGACGCCCAGCAGGATGGCCGTGCTCCGTCCCACGCCCGGCTGCAGCCGGCCCCGTCCCCGACGCTGCAGCCGCCACACGATGGCCGAGTTGGTGACCAGGAAGATGGTGCAGGGGACGAAGTAGACGGTGAGGCAGTGCGCCCACTTGAGGACCTCGTCCAGCGTGCTGGGGGGGTCGTCGTCCCGCCACACGTCTAGCCACCAGTAGAAGGGGATGCCCGTGAGCAGCGCTGCGCCCAGCACCACGCCGATGGCCCGGCGCGTCCGGCCTGGGGACGAGGCGGCGCGGTGGTGCAGAGGGTGGCACAGGGCGCTGTAGCGGTCCACCGTGAGCAGCACGGCCAGCCACACCGAGGCGTGGTTGGCAGCGAACTCCAGGATGTTGGCAGAGCGCACCATGGCCTGGGGCACCTGGCGGGCCAGCACCGCCCCCTGCAGGAGGAAGCCCACGAAGACGATGACCACCTGCGTGACGATGTCCGAGGCCGTGAGCGCCAGCAGGTAGTAGTAGGAGGGCTTCCTGGTCCTGGCGGCCAGGCGGCCCAGGGCCACGGCGGTCAGGAGGTTGACTGCAGGGCACAGAGGGCGGAGGGTGACAGACATGAGAACTTGACGGCTGCCCCACAGGCTGGGCTCACTCCCACTTTCAGGGGGGCCTTTTTTTTAAAATTTATTGTTTTTATTATTTTTTGGCTTTTTTGGGGGCCACTTCCTGCAATGCCCGGGAGTGACTCCTGGCTCTGCACTCAGTAATCACTCCTGGCGGTGCTCAGGGGACCCTATGGGGTGCCGGGGATCAAACCCTGGTCTGCTGCTATGTGCGAGGCAAACACCCTCCCCACTGTACTGTCGCTTCGGGCCCTTTAGGGCTTTCTTAATCCCTCTTGATGGCCCAAAAGAATACAGTGGGTAGGGGACTTGCCTCGCACACGGCCAATCCAGGGTCCATCCTCAGAATACCATATGGTCCCCAGAGGCACCTCCAGGAGTGATCCCTGACCATCACTGGGTGTGGCCCCCCAATTCCTCTGGGTGGGAGCTGTTCAGAGCAGCCGCAGCCACTCCATACCCTGGCCCCCATGCCCTTGGCTGGTGTGGGGACAGAGCCTGCCGGGCATCCTGGGGTCCTTCCCACAGACACCAGGCCCTTGCAGCGGGGGTGGCTGCCTTAGGCACAGGTAGGTGACACCCCAAGGCCAAGCCCCTTTCTCCTTTGCTGCCTTCACCCCCTGCTCTGCTCTCTGGAGGTGTGGAGGATCCTGAAAGCTTTGCCCTGCGCTGGGGGGGGGGTGTCTCTGGACTGCCCCTCCCCTCTCCAGACAGTGCCCACAGCTGAGGGGAGAAGGGGAGCCCTGTTCTGGAGGGTTCTCTAGACAGAACCCCAATCCTTAGCTCCTCCCTGTGGCTCCCCTCTAGGGACACAAGGGCAGCCCAGGAGGCTGAGACGGGGGGACCTCAGGGTCAGCCCAGAGGGTCGTTGTCACCCACCCCAAGATATCCCCCCCAGGTCCGTCCCCCACGCCCCTCACCAGGAAGCCCCAGGCTCAGCAGGATGCTGTAGTAGATGATGGGAGCCACGCCGGCCACGCACGGGGACCGCTGCTCCGGGATCTCGGGCCAGTAGCCTTGGAACGTGGGGCCCAGGCCGCTGCTGTTGGGGGTGGGCAAGAGTACCCCCGCGTGGCTGCCCAGCTGTGTGCGGGGGCGGAGGGGGAAGCATGAGTCTCCCCTGCCCCCCCCTCCCCGTTCCACCCACTTCAGGCCCTGGCCAGACCCCCACCACCCTGCAGCCCGGCACAGGCTCCGCAGGGCCGAGAGATTCCGCACTGGGGCTCAGGAGCCGTGCGGGCAGCGGGAGGGTGTTGGGGGGAGTGGACGCCCCTCTAAGGAAAGACGTCACAGGGCCCCCCTTCCTGCGTTCTAGATGAAAGCTCCCCTCCTCTCCTCCCCTCCTCAGCACTCCAGGGGCCCAGAGGCTGTGGCCCGGCCCCCCTGGCCCCAAGTCTGTGATTTCTGCTGCAGCCCCCAGCCCCTCTCTGGCCCAGTGCCCCCATCTCACTTCCCATCTCTGTCAGTGCCCACGCCCCGCCCCCTTGTCCTGCCCCTCACCCCCTCCCCGGCCCCCATTCCCCAGTTCTTGATACTTCACCTGTCTCTCGTGCCTCGAGCCTCACACTCCGGGGTCCTGAGTCTGGGGTCATCTTATGGCTTTCTTGGCCCCCCTGAGGCTCCCTCTCAGCATCGCCTGGTGCCCCCACCCCTCCCGGCTTGGGTGAGCGCTACCGGCCCCACCGTGCTCCTCCCGGGCTCTGAGTGCAAGCAGAGTGGGAGGAGGAGGAGGAGGAAGGAAGGGGTGGGGCTGAGACTTGGAGTGGGGGGGGGGATTGAGTCTAGACAGTAGAAACGCCTGCAGCACACCCCGATTCCCCAGGGTGCCCGGGACAGGGGCAGGGGGTCAGGCCGGGGGTGGGGAGCAGGAGGGGCAGCCCTAGGGGGGCGGCCTGGGGACAGGCAGAATGATGGGGGGAGGCGGAGCTGACTCTGGGTACCAAACAGAAGGGGGCGCGTCTGGGGGGCTGGGGGCAGGACCAGGTGAGGCCTCAGGCTGGAGCAGCTCAGACCCCAGGGAACCCTCATGGAGGAGCGTTGGAGGCTCCTTCCCAGAGTGGGAGGGGGGGCACAGTGCAGGCGAGAGAGTCCCCAAGGGGCCCCTGGCCAGGCAGGAGGACATGAAGTCCTGCGCAGCTGTGGCCGTGACCCCAGGGACTTCTCGGGGCGCTGGGAAACCGTCATCCAGGGCCCCCGCAAAGCTGTTGTTTTTTTCCGAGCCTGGTGAAACCGATCGTGAACCCCTCCCTCACTCCCCGGAATATCAGGCGCTGGTAAATAAACACCAGCCGGTCACTTGGCAGAGGGAGGTGACCAGGGCAGCCAACCGGGAATCAATCCCCACAGCGGCTCCTTGGCTCCCTAAATAGGCCCCACATCTGGCGCGTGTGTGGGTGGGGTATGTGTGTGTGTGTGTGTTTGTGGTGTGTGTGTGTGTGTGTGTGTGTGTGTGTGTGTGTGTGTGTGTGTGCCGGCGCCCCTCCCCCCATCCTTAACCCCCATCCCCACCCCTCAGGCACGGCTGAGTGCTTGCTGCCCCCTGGTGGCGGCATCCTGACCCTGCAGGCTCCAAAGCGTCCACTAGCTTTGCCCAGTGGTGACCCAAGGTGACCAGAGGGACACTGTCACGCTGATCCCCATCAGGGGGCGCAGACCCCACTCTCAGACAGACAAAAAAATGCATCCCCAGCCACACGCTTCCTGCACCTTGAGGTTCTGCGGGAGCTGGAGCTGTTGATGCTTTAGCCAATGGGTTGCACCAGAGTTTGCCCCCACACCTGACACCTCCAGAAGCCCCACTCGGTATAACTGTGGCTCATCCCCACCCCATCCCAGTGCTCCAGGGAAGCGAGGCATCGGGGCACTGACCCCAGCGCTGGAAGGGGCAGTTGGCACTGGAGTGAGGCGTGTCCCTCCCTGCCTGTCCCTTGGTCATTTGTCATTCCTTGGGCAACCTGCTCCGGAAACTTGCTCAGGATGGGAGTGGCCCTGAGGGCTGGGGCTTTTGGGAGGAGGGACCCGAGCGGCCGCAGTGGGAGCGAGTGGGAAACACAGCATGGCGGAGGGAGCCAGGTAGGATGGCGAACTGCCACTGGGCGGTGGGGGGAGTCAGTCAGGACTTTGGGGAAGGAAGCCTTCTTGGACAGGACGCTAGACCTCTGAAACCAAGACTTGGGAGTGTTTTTGGCTTATTGAGCCACACCTGGCAATGCTCAGGGGTTACTCCTGGCTCTGCATTCAGTGATCACTCCTGGCGGTGCTCGGGGGACCGTAGGGGATGCCGGGGATCTAACCGGGTCAGCCGCATGCAAGGCAAACACTCTCTCACTGTGCTATCTCTCCTGCCCTCTCAAGATTCTTTTGGATTTCCCCCCGCTTGGTTTCGGGGCCACAGTCAGCAGTGCTTAGGCCTTACTCCTGGCTCTGAGCTCAGGGATCACTCCTAGCAGTGCTCAGGGCACCATATGGAGTGTTGGGAATCCAACCCGGGTCAACCATGTGCAAGGCAAGCGCCCTCCCGTTGTCCTATCCCTGCAGATGGACATTCAGGATTCTGGTCTCCAACCTCAGTGCCAAGGGAAGATTTACTCAGGAAAGGGCCACTCTAGAGTAGGGGACAGTGGGCGCGAACAGACGGGGCTGGGGTCTCCGGGGGCCTCAGGGCCCGTCTGCAGGTACAGGAACTCTTTGCCCTGCCCCAGCTTGTGCGAATTTCCGGCGGCTACTTCAGCACTTGAGATTCCCCGTCCGGCGGGGTCATTTCTGGTGACGGATCCGCTGTGGAAGGACGGCCCAGGGCGAGGAGTGAGTCCTGGCTTCCATCTGCTTCACTCACAAACATCCCTCCTGGGACCTGCTAAGGCTGGGGGGCGGGGGCTCACCCAAAAGGGCTTCCTGGCGGGCAGGGAGCAAGCAAGCAGGGGGTCTTGTTATCCCGTTGAGGCAGGACTGAAGCGGTCGTCCAATGGGGAGGCCACTTGCTTTGCACACGGTATCCCATCGGGTCCCCAGAGCACCGCCAGGAGTGAGCCCTGAGCACAGCCAGGTATGGCCCCAAGGAAAACAAGCATAAAAAGAAAAGAAAACCCCACAGTATTTGAGAAGTCAGCAGACAGGACTCTAAGTACCTCGGGTGCTCATCCTTTCTGGAGATGCAGCATCTCCAGGTAGCCAGCCCTTTCCCGGACCCACCTGCCTTCCTCCTTTCCTCTCTAACACCCTGGTCTTTGTCCGTACAGCTAGGAATACAAGGTTTTTATTTATTTATTTATTTTCAGTTTTCTACCTGAATCCTTATTTTTTTTTAATTTCTAAATTTTTTTTTAATGAATCACTGTGAGATACAGTTACAGACTTACAAACTTTTATGATTATGTTTCAGTCATACAATGATCAAGTACCCATCCCTCCACCAGTGCCCATTCTCCACCACCAATGATCCCAGTATCCCTCCCGCCACCCCCACCCCATCCCTCCACCCATCCTGCTTCTGTGTCAGACACATTTCCTTTTACTCTCTCTCTCCTTTTGGGTGTTACAGTTTGCAATACAGGTAGTAAGTGGCCATCATGTTTGGTCCATAGTCTACTTTCAGCACATGACCGGAGCAAGCCCTCCAACCATCATTCACTTAGTATTACCTGTATCCAAATGATAGTATCCTTGTATCCAAATGATAATACTTTGATTGTAACAAAAGCACTCTGCCCTTTTCAATTGTTCTTGCTCTGGATGTTTGGGTGGACCCTCCACCCCCCACCCCACACACACACACCCTCCACGCACTCCTGACCCTTGGACTAAGAAGAGAGAACGGAAAGCTGGTGTGTAAATCTCTGGAGACAGCTCTGGGAAAGGGGAGGAGGGAGTGTCTCTGAGAGAGATGGGGCAGCGGGACTCCTGGAGCCCTTGGGAGAAAGGAGCGTGAAATAGACATGAAACACACACAGTTCAGTGGCCGTCACATGCTTTGCTGGGCTGACCTGAGTTCCATTACCAGCCCCTCTCTGGTCCCCTGAGCTCTCAACTGACCAGGAGTGATCCCTGAGCACAGAGACAATAGTAAACCCTGACCACCCCCCACCCCTCCGCCAGAAAAAAACAAAAACAAAAACAAAACAAAACAAGCAAAAATACCCTCCCCGCCAATCACGGGGCTGAGAACACACCCTGTGCTGCCTGCTTGCTGAGGGTCTGGGAGAGGAGCTGTAGGCAGGTGTGGGTCTCCCTTTGACACTGGCTGTCACAGTTCACAGTTCACTGACATTGAATGTTCCTGCCCCAGGGGGCTGGTAGCGTCCACCCCATCCCTGGGCCCTGAGCCTGCTGTGGGAGGGGATTGCTAGGGAGGGCTGGGGGCCTGGTGTCCACCAGCAGGTGGGAAGGGCAGACAGCTGGAGAGGATGGGCCCAGGGGCTGTTTGGTCAGCTGGGAAGGGGCAGACCCCAGGCCTGGCTTGTGTGTGTGTGTGTGTGTGTGTGTGTGTGTGTGTGTGTGTGTGATAGCAGGGAGTGCTAGCTGGGGGCAGAAATGTGTGTGTGTATGTGTGTGTGTGTGTGTGTGTGTGTTAGCAGGGAGTGCTAGCTGGGGGCAGAAGAGTGTGTGTGTGTGTGTGTGTGTGTGTGTGTGTGTGTGTGCAAGCGCGTGTGTGTTGGCAGGGAGTGCTAGCTAGGGGCAGAAATCAATGTCCTTTATGTACTCAGTTGGGTCCAGAGGGTGGGGAGGGCAAGTTCAGATATCCCCCTGCCCCCAACACACACATACAAGCCCCCAAATCAAAGTCTGGCCACAGCACTGATCCTCTCAGACGCTCCTCTTCAGCTCACCAGCCTCAAGGGGTCCCCCCACAAAAAGCAGGACGGGTCTCACTGAGCCTCAGCAGGACGTACCCCTCTGGCCGCTCACCCCTCCTGGGGCCTGCAGGGAGGGTGTTTGCCCTGCATGGAGTTTATCGGGGTTCCATCCCCGACACTCCAGAGGGTCCCCTGAGTTCTGCCAGGGGTGATTCCTGAGCACGGGGCTGAGTGTGACCCCAACACCGAAAAATTAAGAGTCTCTGCAGTGTGGTTCCCTCACTCCCGCCTGGGGCTGGTGAGCCAGGTCAGGCGCCTGCACCCAGCCTGGCTCTGCTCCCCTGGGGATGCCCTGGACTCTGGGGTAAAACAGTCTCGAGGGGCCCTAAAAGCCCATCACCCTCCCTGAGTGTGCCAAGACCCTGAAACTCCCAGCCCTTTCGGGTCTGGGAGCGAGCCTCCCACTGCGAGCGGGCAGGGTGCAGCCCTCACCCTCTCCTCCACCCCTTTGCACCAGGAGGAGGGTGCAGGGAGGAGGGAAAGTGTGCAGGCGGTGGGGGGGCAGTGGTCCCGGAGGCCCGGCCTGCCCTCGGGACAGCGAAGACCTTCCCAGGAGGGGACAGGGGGGCGGTGCCGGATCTGTCCCCTCCAGCCTGGGCAGCACAATAGCCACTGGGCCTGCTCTCCGGCTTAAGAGGTTGCCTGGGCAACTGCAGGCCGGTTTCCACCAATCCAGGGCAGGGCCGCGGGGGGAGGGAGGTGCGGCCCCTATATAAAGAGGAGGGATGGGGGCCGGGGGT